TGCGGAGGGCCAATTTACCGCTGAACATGTGATCCGGAATTCATTCCACCAGTTTCAGTATGAAAAGGTTTGTCTCACGACCTCTTATAGATGCCTCTCCTGATATTTCCTTGGCAATGTCAAATTAGCTTCCCTTGCTCTTCAGGCTTTACCTGAAGTCGTTCAGAAGATTACAAAGTTGGAAAATGAAGCTACATTGCTGGACTCTTCTGGAGAGGTATGCTATTTTAATTGTAGCAATGCATAACTGTTCTTCTGTTTGACTAACGTCTTAACACTTCTCTGTACAGAATGATCTTGCCGAGTATCACAAGTTAGGGCTTGATATATCTGAACTTGAAAAGAAAATCATGTCTGAGATGATTAGACCAGAGAGAGCTTTGTTATATTTGGTCCCTGGAAGGCTGGTACGTAACTCTATTTCAGTATTTCTCATAGGTTCTGTTCTTTCTTGAGGATGAGACATACATGTTCATTAATGCTTGATATATTTGAACTTGACAGCACTACAGCAGGAATGCTGTATCTAGTTATGTTCACCATTTTATTTTATTTGTTGAACCGCTGCTTTGTTTTGACTATGATGTTGGTTTTATAAAATTTGCACAAATTCCCTTACACTCAGCAATTTGCTTCATGGCAGGTTAAAGTCAGAGATGGCTCAACAGACTGGGGGTGGGGTGTGGTCGTAAATGTTGTGAAGAAACCTCCAGCATCTAGTACTCTCCCCCCTGCATTAAGTGCACCTCGCAATAACTATATAGTGGATACCTTGCTTCATTGTTCTTCAAGTTCAAGTGAGAATGGAGCCAATGGACCACGTTCAAAGCCATGCCCACCTCGCCAAGGGGAGAAGGGAGAAATGCATGTGGTGAGTTGAAGCACATGATCAAGGGTTTTAATTGGTGGCATATCTTTTCAGTTCACTGGACTCGCGTTATGATGGTCATTTAAGTATATCCCAAAACTATTTTTGACTAACGCTGAGGTTTATGCAGGTGCCTGTACCATTACCTTTATTATCTGGTCTAAGCAGTGTTAGAATCAGCATTCCAACTGATCTACGACCACCTGAAGCGAGACAAAACATACTCTTTGCAGTTCAAGAACTAGGAAAACGTTACCCCCAAGGGCTTCCAAAGCTACATCCAATTACGGTGAAAATTCTTTTTGCATGATGCCGCTTTTTAATCTTGTTAATGTTGCATTGCAAGTGACATTTCTGTCTAGAGAGCAGAAATTCCCCCCCAAAAAAAGATACGCTGCAAAATATCTCATCAGGATTTAGATGGACATTTTTTTGGCACTTAGCATGCCACTCACCCATGCATGATACACAGGCAGAGAACACAGATGCAATACCTCAAATAACAATATCCTTTGATGTCCTCTTGTGCTCTACCTTCTGTTGTCATTTTCTTTCTGTCGTATTTAGCTGGTCCAGTTCCTGGGAGCATATTTTCTTATCATCTGGCATTGTAAAGTGATCTCTTTGATATTCTGATATAATCTGATACAATTAATAGGACATGGGTATTGAAGAACCTGAATTAGTTGACTTGGTTCATAAACTTGATGGTCTCGAGGAGAAATTATGTTCTCATCCTCTTAATAAGGTATGCCTTGTCATCACTTTCAATTAAGAAATGTCCAGTCCTTTTTTACTGTGACCCTCTTATATTTTTCTATTTTTGTGTCTTAGTCTGATCAAAGTGAGCAGCAACTGTCATGGTACCAAAGAAAGGCTGAACTGAATCATGAAATTCAACAACTAAAGTCAAAGATGCGGGATTCACAGGTTGGTTAATTCTTTGTATACTTGATCGCTCGTACAGAGCTAAATGTGTTCTTACGTTTTTCTCCTCCATTCAGCTGCAAAAATTTAGGGATGAACTAAAGAACCGGTCTCGCGTTCTGAAGATGCTTGGTCACATTGACACGGATGGTGTTCTCCAGCTAAAGGGACGTGCTGCCTGTTTAATAGACACTGGGGATGAGCTGCTTATCACTGAACTTATGTTCAACGGTACCTGCTTAATACGATACCATGTTCAGTTTTTTTTTTGTACTTTATATTCAGGATTGCATTAATATGCTGTACGTGACTAGGTACATTTAATGAACTTGATCACCATCAAGTTGCTTCTGTTGTTAGCTGCTTTGTACCGTGTGAGAAGTCAAGTGAGCAAATACGCCTGAGAAATGAGCTTTCTAAGCCAATGATGCAACTCTCGGAGGCTGCTAGAAAAATAGCTGAGGTGCATACTTGTTGTATCACCACCATTTACTATCTCACTAGTCCTTATACTTGTAGTGGGATCTCTGATTTCTCATTTTTGTTTTAGGTACAACGAGAATGCAAATTGGACGTAAATGTAGAGGAATACGTTGAATCAACTTGTAAACCCTATCTGATGGATGTCATATACTGCTGGTCAAAGGTTGGTTAGACTATGCATGTGCAGTTTGTGATGCCATACATTTTTCGTATTTTCGGAAATTTCCAGCCATTGATAAAATCTTATTTCCAATTGTGACATTTGATCATTTTCATGCCTAATCACCCCATCAGATGCAATGTTACTTTACATGTTTAATTCTGTTGCAATTTCTTTAGCTCTATATCGATTCCTGATTATCATGTTCACACAGGGCGCGACCTTTGGAGAGGTGATAGAAATGACTGACATTTTTGAAGGAAGCATCATAAGGCTAGTTAGGAGGCTGGATGAATTTCTAAATCAGGTACGTGTTGCATATGCTACGCCGTACCAGCACCTGCTCTCTCCATTCGCAGATACATGTCATTTGGGACATTCATATGGCCTCCAACGTACATCTTTGACTGTTACTTTATACATGCTTGTAAAAAATATGGAAATTTTCATTTTGTGAAGTTATTTTTCATGAAAAATCTAAAAGTATTATTTTCCCTACGAATGTGAATATTTATAATTATTTTAACAGTCAAAGCTATACAAGTTTGACTGCATGCTTTGTAAGATGGCACATACTCTATTTAGGGAAGGAGGCAGTAAATCACTTATAATCAGAATGTCTGGCATTGAATGCCCTGTTTAGATCAATGTGCAAGTGAATCAAAATTGTCTGCCTTTGAATATCCCCTTTGGATCAATGTGCATCCGTGTCGAGGAAGTGTATTTCATTGTGACACGGCCGAATATGACGTACAAGTTGAAGTCTAGCCGAAATCATTGCATGGCTCAATTACTCACACACAAAAAAGCTAAACCAACTTCAATTGTCGTACTGCCTGATTTCATAGCTTGCTTGGCGTGGTAAGTAGCTGGTATTTATTCGGATGTAGAGGTTGACTTGTGTTGCCTCTGTACAAAGAAATGTAGCTACATCCTATGTTGCTTCTGTAGAGGTTGGCTATGTTGCCTCCGTAGAGGTTGGCTATGTTGCCTCCGTAGAGGTTGACTATAGTAATTGTGACTGACATCCACTTTCTTCTATGCCCTTTTCTGCATGCCTAATACTTCATTTTCCTGTTCCCAAGTCTGTGCACAGTCAACAGAAGTAGATGTGCATTGTTTTACTTATCGAACCAACTGACCGTGTGAATCTGATCTGTTTATACCAGCTAAAAGCTGCTGCTGAAGCCGTTGGGGAGGTAAACCTTGAGAAGAAGTTTGGTTGGCGAGCGAGAGCTTGCGTCGGGGTATCATGTTTGCCAACTCATTGTACCTGTGATCGGTGGAGCTCCAGCAGTTGTACCATATGGGGTATATGTTAGCAGAGCAAATGTAGCTGTCTTGTATTTTGTCTTTGACATGGCATGGGGATGTAGCCCTCATATGTCGCAGCGTAGGATGGAGATGTAACCTTCTACTTTAGTAAACCCTTAGGCCGCAACTGTTTTATCAGAAGATTAGAAGCAATCTGCTATACATCAACATTTTTTGTAAGTGGTCCGATGTCTGAAATAGCACAAAATAGTATTATACCTGTCTCGTTTTTCCCATTACTATGTGTGATGATGTGGTTATCAGGTTTTGGATGCGTTGTCATCAAGCAATACTCTTTACATTTCCACGGCCTGTCTTATGGAGTCTAGTTGGTTACTGAAAGATCATGTCCATGAAGATGCTTTGGGGAGAAATGACTGCAATGCTGAACGAACGTGATATATCAGTACATGGCGTTATGTTTCTAACAGGAGCTATTTTATATTGAGATGGTGATCATTGAAGTTTGAGATCGCCATATTTTTCCGTGAGAACTGGGCATCAAAGTTTTCGGGAAGTTATGGCAGAATTGTTGAATTATGGGTCCTTATACTGTGACCTTACCATTACAAAACCAGTAATTTTGGCCGCCAAACTCTCCTGAGCCCTTTAATTTAAGAATGCCTTCATGTTTCAACCATTCCAAGCTGAACTGGCCTTCAGAGGTGAAGGCACTAAAGCAGTTTCAGAAACAATAGCAAGCAAATGTTCTATGCCAGGAAATCCATACATAGCCAAACAGCTCAAATTGTCACCTCCAGAATTAAGAACAGGCTACATAATCTAGTTTCTGACAATGTCCAATACCAATATCTGGAGCATTTACATATTGCCATGACACAGCACAGTTCAACCAGAGACACTACACTAGTTCATCCACTGGATTTAAGAAACATCTACGAAGGCCAGAGTACGCCGTGCAGCTCCTAGAATTCCAGCAGCATCTTGATCCCTTGAAGCACTGCAGTTCATACCAAGTTAGCGCACGGGCTCTGCTACACAAACCACATGACAGCATATGTTCATCATAAAGTTCAGTATCTAGCCAAGAAGATGCCAGGCATCGAAACTAATAGACTTCATATCTAAAATGCTTATGAAAAACATGATAGTGAATGATGATCACTACGAGCACAAGATTTATCCTAACAGCATTTTTGGGGGTATGTATGCTACGTTGATGTATCGTTGTACCATGTCAGCTTGCACTTAAACCAGCAATGTTCTTACCTTGTAGATCATAAGCAGTTAGATATTCTCCAAGGCAAAATCCCTCCATACGTCCCCTTGTGCTGGCAGGCTTTCCTGATCTGTTTGGTATAAAATAATTCCTATCAAGAATTGCAAAATACCAGCTGTTGAGTATTGACCGTACAGATAGGAAAGGTTTTACATTCAAAATTCTAAAGGATGCCATAACAGTGTAAAGCATTCGACTTCAACCATTTGTATTGCTCAGAAATGTACTACAGTGTTACTTATGCCTAGCAATTAAGCAGAGATTCATATTACAAAATTGAGTTCAAGGTGTTTTTGCGATCCAAGTTTCGTCAAAGAGTAAAGATGCAAGTATGCGGTAAAAAAATTATCACGGGGGGACAGTTTGATATTGCATTAGAAATAGTATTATTTGATCAACTGAAATAAGTTGTACGGAAAATTTGCTAACAGAAATCATGAACTCCAGTCGGACTTGGGCCAAGCGTTTGATTATGGTTAATAGTTTACTGCTAAATAAATCAACAAACTTAAACATCCATGTTAAACTCCAATTTGAGTGCAATAAGACAGCCAAGAAAATCCTGGTATGAGAGTAGACGGTTACAAGTGATAAATAATTCGATCTTAAATCCATACTCAATTGCATAGAGCACAAGAAATTGCAGAATTTTTATGATGTGGCTCTAGTGAAAAAAGGCAGCTCACTTATGTTATATATTTCTCCGTTACAAAATAAGTGACGTGGTTTTAGTTCAAATTTCAAGTAAAACCACGTCACTTGTTTTTGAATGGAGGGAGTAGATATAAGACGTTTTTTGTCACTGTCATGGACTTCAAAAACGTCTTATGAAAAGTTACAGAGGGAGTATCATGCTGCTATTGAGATTTGGGAATCTAAGGGCGCACACCAGCAAGAGCAGAACAGTGGCGTATCACTGGTGTGATGGAAGTTTCATCAGTAAGATGCCCTACAACAGAGACATTTCCATAACTAGCAGCCGCAGCATGATGCAGCCCTATGGCCTAACGCCTTCATTTTGTTTGGGAAGTTATTATGGGCTAATTGCAGTTCTAGCAGAGTTTAGTCGCACAAATTAACCCAGCAATCGCAATCTGGGAGCTCTGCGGCTGTGCCTATTACCTAGCCTAGAACACCATCAATCGACTGTCCAAGCGCAAGAGGGGCTCGCATCCCGGTGAAGGCCGGATGCAGATCGGGATTGATTTAATTAAAACTCATCACCACAAGCCACGGACTGCGCAGGGCAAGGCGATAGAAAGGAAAGGCGGGACGCGGGCGTACTTGCGGGTGCGGGGTCCTCGGTGTCCTCGGTCTTCACGGCCATCGCCGGCGGCACGGGGATGTCTGCAGGAGGAAACCATCGTGAGCGGATCGACTCGGGCTACTCGGCTAGGTCGCCGGGCGCGGAAAGGGAGGGGGAGCAGGGGAGGGCGTGCGTACCGTCGGCGGGGAGGGTGTCGCGCATCCACTGCTCGTCGACGATGTCGATGAGGATGCCCAGGCTCAGGCTCTGGTCGCCCATCTTCTCCTCCGCCGCGTCGTCTCCTCTGCTCTCCCGCCGGCCGCCGCTACCTGGCTACCGGAGTCGTGTCGTTCGGTCGGAATGGGGCCTGCAGTTTCGACGAAACGAAGGGGCTTTATTTAGCCGGCCCGTGTGGTTTTGGGCCGGAATTGGGCTCAGGCTGTGACCTGGCCCCGTATTTTGCGATCCCCCACTTGTGAAAAAAAAAGATTTTTTTATGAATACGCCCCTTTGATTCATAGGATTTTTTTTCATATGGTGGTAATTGGATTTGCATGACTAGATTTTTTTAATCCGTATGATTCATTTGTAGTCTTTTTGGAGAAACTTTCCATGCACTCAAACTATGGTAAGATTTCTTTATTTTTCATGTGCCAACAAAACACTCATTGGTCATTATTCATGTAGTTTTCTAATCCTATAGACTTCCACTTCAATTATAGAGTACTTTCTTTTATCTATGTATTTTGGGAATCATTTGATTCAAAAGGTCATAAATGTTCGTTCTCTAATTAGAGGGAGTGAATGCATGATACCCATCCAATCTGGAGGAGGAGTTATGGGAGGGTAGCCGGGCCAGGGCGGGGAGAAAGAGAGGTCAAAAAGAAGCGGGAAAAGGAAGAATTGGAGGAGGGTACCCGATTATGACAAGCTCAAGAATACATATAGGGGGGACAATTAAGGGCATGTTTGGTTTGTGTCCTGGCCATCGTGCCTGAAAAAAGTCAATGCCTGGAACGAGCCTGAGAGCATATGTGTTTTATGCCTGCGCAGGATTGGCTGGGACAAGCATGTTTGGTTGATGCCTTGGCCTCAAAAAGCATTAGAGAATATTTTATAGGGTCAAGAATGCGTATAGTTGTGGAGCCCACTGAACTAGCAAAATATTTTAGTACTAATGTACAACCAGGCACGTGCCAGGCATGTGTAATCGTTCGCCTGGCCCATGCTAATGGTGGTGCCTGGATTTGCCAGGCTAATGATGGTGACAGGCTTTTCCAGGCCAAGCATTCTGTCACATGCTCAGGACGCTATCCAAACATGTCTCAGGCAGGTTTCAGGCACCAAATCGCCAGGAAGGCAACCAAAGTGGCCCTAATCTAAGTGGCAAGAAAGACACTTGGTGGCTAATCTGAGACTGGTCGGGGCAACACTTTTGACTTTGGACTTAAAAGGGGATGTTTGATCAAGGTGATGACACCCACCTCAAGAAATGTTCATGGTAGCTACGACGATGAGACCAGGAAGCCTACAATGGGGTGAAAATGAAACACAATATAAGGAGAGCTTGAGAGTAGCAAAATGGGAAAGGATAATGGCGGAGGCAACTATTCGGTGGGATTGAAGTAGATGACGAGCTGGGGGACAAGACTAACATACCACAGACGCTAGAGTGGTTGTTCAGAAGCGAGTGAAGGTATCACCTAGCTTCATCTTCAAGAAAGAAAAGAAAAAACTGAAGGAAAAAAACAACACTCTGAAAGGACTTGAAATGTTTGATTAAACTAGTCAATGTGTATGTGCAATGCACGTTAATTTGGAAGTATATCAAGTGCATGCAGATATTAAGTAGGATATTATTTGCGTGTTATTATGTGATTAGCACTATATTTAGCATGTAATTAACTGCACACCAAATGTGTTGAGCGCTCGACATTGAAGCAGTCTAGGTCGTTGGATTGACATGATTTGATGGTCGGGATTATTTGGATCTGCCCCTTTAGGTCTTTTTTGTTGGGAATATGCCCTAGAGGCAATAATAAAATGGTTATTATTATATTTCCTTGTTCATGATAAGTGTCTATTGTTCATGCTATAATTGTATTAACCGGAAACCGTAATATATGTGTGAATACATAGACCACAACATGTCCCTAGTAAGCCTCTAGTTGACTAGCTCGTTGATCAATAGATGGTCATGGTTTCCTGACCATGGACATTGGATGTCATTGATAACGGGATCACATCATTAGGAGAATGATGTGATGGACAAGACCCAATCCTAAGCATAGCACAAGATCGTGTAGTTCGTATGCTAATGCTTTTCTAATGTCAAGTATCATTTCCTTAGACCATGAGATTGTGCAACTCCCGGATACCGTAGGAATGCTTTGGGTGTACCAAATGTCACAACGTAACTGGGTGGCTATAAAGGTGCACTGCGGGTATCTCCGAAGGTGTCTGTTGGGTTGGCTCGAATCGAGACTGGGATTTGTCACCCCGTGTAAACGGAGAGGTATCTCTGGGCCCACTCGGTAGGACATCATCATAATATGCGCAATGTGACCAAGGAGTTGATCACGGGATGATGTGTTACGGAATGAGCAAAGAGACTTGCCGGTAACGAGATTGAACGAGGTATCGGGATACCGACGATCGAATCTCGGGCAAGTATCGTACCGATAGACAAAGGGAATTGAATACGGGATTGATTAAATCCTCGACATCGTGGTTCATCCAATGAGATCATCGTGGAGCATGTGGGAGTCAACATGGGTATCCAGATCCCGCTGTTGGTTATTGACCGGAGAGTTGTCTCGGTCATGTCTACATGTCTCCCGAACCCGTAGGGTCTACACACTTAAGGTTCGGTGACGCTAGAGTTGTAGAGATATTAGTATGCGGTTAACCGAAAGTTGTTCGGAGTCCCGGATGAGATCCCGGACGTCACGAGGAGTTCTGGAATGGTCCGGGGGTAAAGATTTATATATAGGAAGTCCAGTTTCGGGCACCAGGAGAGTTTCAGCAGTCATCGGTATTATACCGGGACCACCGGAAGGGTCCCAGGGGTCCACCGGGTGGGGCCACCTATCCTGGAGGGCCCCATGGGCTGAAGGGGCGTAGGAACCAGCCCCTGGTGGGCTGGTGCGCCCCCCCTTGGGCCTCCCATGCGCCTAGGGTTGGAAACCCTAAGGGGTGGGGGCGCCTCCACTTGGCTTGGAGGCCAAGCCACTAGGGCTGCCGCCCCCTCCCTAGATGGGATCGACAAGGGGCCGGCACCCCCCTAGGCCCCTATATATAGTGGAGGGGAGGGAGGGCAGCCGCACCTGAAGCCCTGGCGCCTCCCTTCCTCCCGTGACACCTCTTCCTCCCCGCTTGTGCTTGGCGAAGCCCTGCCGGGATCCCGCTACTTCCACCACCACGCCGTCGTGCTGCTGGATCTCCATCAACTTCTCCTCCCCCCTTGCTGGATCAAGAAGGAGGAGACGTATCCGCTCCGTACGTGTGTTGAACGCGGAGGTGCCGTCCGTTCGGCGCTAGGATCATTGGTGATTTGGATCACGACGAGTACGACTCCATCAACCCCGTTCTCTTGAACGCTTCCGCTTAGCGATCTTCAAGGGTATGAAGATGCACTCCCTCTCTCTCGTTGCTATATGACTCCATAGATTGATCTTGGTGATGCGTAGAAAATTTTAAATTTCTGCTATGATCCGCAACAGTGGCATCATGAGCTAGGTCTATGCGTAGATTCTATGCACGAGTAGAACACAAAGTAGTTGTGGGCGATGATTTGTTTAATTTGCTTGCCGTTACTAGTCTTATCTTGATTCGGCGGCATTGTGGGATGAAGCGGCCCGGACCGACCTTACACGTACTCTTACGTGAGACAGGTTCCATCGACTGACATGCACTTGATGCATAAGGTGGTTGGCGGGTGTCTTTCTCTCCCACTTTAGTCGGATCGGATTCGATGAAAAGGGTCCTTATGAAGGGTAAATAGCAATTGGCATATCACCGTTGTGGTTTTGCGTAGGTAAGAAACGTTCTTGCTAGAAACCCATAGCAGCCACTTAAAACATGCAACAACAATTAGAGGACGTCTAACTTGTTTTTACAGGGTATGCTATGTGATGTGATATGGCCAAAAGGATGTGATGAATGATATATGTGATGTATGAGATTGATCATGTTCTTGTAATAGGAATCACGACTTGCATGTCGATGAGTATGACAACCGGCAGGAGCCATAGGAGTTGTCTTAATTTATTTACGACCTGCGTGTCAATGAAAACGCCATGTAATTACTTTACTTTATTGCTAACCGTTAGCCATAGTAGTAGAAGTAATAGTTGGCGAGGCAACTTCATGAAGACACGATGATGGAGATCATGATGATGGAGATCATGTTGGAAATATGCCCTAGAGGCAATAATAAAATGGTTATTATTATATTTCTTTGTTCATGATAATTGTCTATTGTTCATGCTATAATTGTGTTATCCGGAAATCGTAATATATGTGTGAATACATAGACCACAACACGTCCCTAGTGAGCCTCTAGTTGACTAGCTCGTTGATCAAAAGATAGTCATGGTTTCCTGACTATGGACATTGGATGTCATTGATAACGGGATCACATCATTAGGAGAATGATGTGATGGACAAGACCCAATCCTAAGCATAGCTCAAAGATCGTGTAGTTCGTTTGCTGTAGCTTTTCTGAATGTCAAGTATCATTTCCTTAGACCATGAGATTGTGCAACTCCCGGATACCGTAGGAGTGCCTTGGGTGTGCCAAACGTCACAACGTAACTGGGTGACTATAAAGGTACATTACAGGTATCTCCGAAAGTGTCTGTTGGGTTGGCATGAATCGAGACTGGGATTTGTCACTCCGTATGACGGAGAGGTATCTCTGGGCCCACTCGGTAATGCATCATCATAATGAGCTCAATGTGATCAAGTGGTTGATCACGGGATCATGCATTACGGTACGAGTAAAGTGACTTGCCGGTAACGAGACTGAACAAGGTATTGGGATACCGACGATCGAGTCTCGGGCAAGTAACGTACCGATTGACAAAGGGAATTGTATACGGATTGATTGAATCCTCGACATCGTGGTTCATCCGATGAGATCATCGAGGAGCATGTGGGAGCCAACATGGGTATCCAGATCCTGCTGTTGGTTATTGACCAGAGAGTCGTCTCGGTCATGTCTGCATGTCTCCCGAACCCGTAGGGTCTACACACTTAAGGTTCGGTGACGCTAGGGT